TCAGTTGTAATTCCAGGATAACTCCAAGCCTCACCTGAAAGACAGCAACCCCAGGGACAACCTTACCTATTGGACCACCTTTTCATTATACTCAATAGCCAGCACACAGGAGACTCCGGGAGCTCCAGTAACAGGTAATAGGTCTCTATTGCTTCCAACTGAGAGAGAAGACTTACAGGTTTACAGATGGAGAGTACGAAGACACACATTGGAAGATTGCAGCCAACACTCACACAGAAGACCTAAGTGAGGCCGCTTCAATATAGGCCTAGGGTTGCCAGTGCCCGAGTGAAGTCTGGAGATCTCCCAGAACTACAACTGGAGAAAACTGCTGGTTTGGATAGCGGACTCCTTCATCATTTTCAGGTTTATTTAGGTTTGATAGCACAATGGCCATGCACCATAAAAGAAAAGTTAAGAGTTTAAAAATACACTAAAACAGAAATTCGCCACTTCTACAATACAGTTTTTTCCAGAGGCTGCTCAAGAGTAGTCTTAGGCCCTTTCTGCACTCTCCTTTTAATCCATGCTCACTGCGGTGTCCTCCAAGCAATTCTGCACTAAAATCGAATTCAACTCCCTTTTTAATCCAGGTTCCCCCCCCCCATTCTGCACAGAAACCAAGTTTGACCTTCTTTATTCCAGGTTCCCCCCCCATTCTGCATTATATTACCTCCCCTTCAGTGGTCAGCCCGGTTTCAGCCTGCTGTTGTCCCAGGTTATTTGGATGCTGTTAAGCCTTTCGAACACTGAGAATATCTGGAGTGGCAGGCAAATGCAGAAAGGAGCTTAATCTTGTAGTATCAGAAAAGGTTGAATACTTCAGCATCCATTTTCTAAGGAATTTCTCTCTTGCTGTTGCATGTTTTGGACAATAAAAGAAAATGTGAGATGGTGAGTCAAAGTCTTTGAGTACAAACTATTTTTTACATCAATATAACAGTGTACACTTGAACAAAAGACCTTGCTAAAGAATTGCCATGAGAAACAGTCCTTCTTTAGAGCAGCAAAGACTTTCTAGCGATGGGCTGATTTCGCACAAGGAGCTGTGCCGCCATCACGCCTCCCTTTGCCCTGTTTCCATTGGTCAATTTCCCACTCGAAGCCGCGCAGCCGCATTTTGACCCGCGGCTTCGTGATCCTGTATTTTTAGGATCACAAAAATGTGGGGAAAATCAGGCGAAGCTGCGGGTCAAAATGCGGCCGTGTGGCTTCAAGTGGGAAATTGACCAATGGAAACGGGGCAAAGGGAGGCGCGACGGCGGCGCAGCTCCTTGTGCGAAATCAGCCCATCACTAGAAAGTCTTTGCTGCTCTAAAGAAGGACTGTTTCTCAAGGCAATTCTTTAGCAAGGTCTTTTGTTCAAGTGTACACTGTTATATTGATGAAAAGGTCCCAGACGCAGTCCCAGTCTCAACAGACAAGCCAGCCATAAATACAATGTTTTGCTGAAGCTTTCTCAAGAATGGAACTGCCTTGAGAGCACTGGAAGTTTGCAAGGTTAAGAATTTCTTACTTCCTGATTAATTAAAGTGTTTTCCTGATTGAAACAAAAGACTGTGGTTAATTTGTACTGGAAGGCGGTTCCATCTTTGAGAAAGCTTCAGTGAAACAAGGTTATTAACAGCTGGCTTGCCTGTTGGGACTGGGACTGCGGCCGGAACCTTTTCATCAGAGACCATCGCTAGAAAGACTTAGCTACTCAAAAGAAGGACTGCTCTCGTGGCAATTCTTTAGCAAGGTCTTTTGTTCAAGTGTATACTGTTATTTTTATGTGGAAAATGTCTGTATTGAAGTCTATTATTCCTGGCTGCATTGTAAGGATTCATATATATATTATGTGTTTTCCCTTCTTTGATTGTACTTCAATTTTAGTGCATTTTTTTCTTATTAATATATATAACTTGGTTTCTTAAATCTCTTTATTGTTTGTATGAAATTTTGGTATAGACACCTTGACATGGTTATTTCTTGATTTACCATGTTTCTCACTCTGGTTTTGTTAAGATATACATGCGGGTTAAATTTAGTAGAATATTTAATTTCCAGATAAAGTGGAGAGCAATTTTGTTTGGCATCCTTTAGAAGAGTGTCAGTTGTGTTTAATCAGCTTCTCCGTAAATATAGTTTGCTATCTTTTGGTTAGATTTTTTGCCTTCTGTAAGCCCAGTTGGTCTATTTTTGTATCTATGGCTTCATTACATTTTGATTAGCAGTACATATGTGCTGCCAGTGTGGTGAAGGTTGGAAGCTCTTCAGAGTTTGATAGCTGATACTTGAAACTGGCTATAGCCTTCTACATTAGCATTGAGATTTTTGGGAGACCTAGTTTGTTGTACAACTGCAGAAGTAATACATGGTGATAGAGTTAGTATCTTGCAGAAGAAGGTTTGTTGGAGGTTTTCCAAGTTGTTCAGTTGGACCTAAGAACCAGATTTGGGAGCCATACAGGATGTGTGGTATCACTACGGTCTCATATGCCTTCGGAAGCACTGGACAGTGGACTCTGTGGCATTATACCCCATTGAGGTACCTGCCCAGGCCCCACCCCCAAATCTCCAGAATTTTCCAACCCAGAACTGGCAAGCCCCTACCACTATGCTCTAAGGCAGCCTGAGGGAGAAAGCAGCCCACACATACTCTTTTCTTCCCAGTTAGCCCTTGTTTGTCTCAGGAAGGAAAAATGGCAAGGTTGTTCGTGGGGTAAGGGGTGGAAAAGGGAAGAGGGTGATGGGAGGATGATCATGGCAAAAGCAATGAAGATGTGCTCGATGAAAGCATCACCAGCAGGTGGTAGCACATTGCCGTCCTGGCTCCTGACAGTGTATGCACATTCCATGCTGGCATCAGGTGCTGCCGAACTCCCAAGTGGGAGCTGAGGATGTCCCTCTCTGAGCCCCCACTGCCCACCACAGCTGTGGGCGTAATTCAGTCTATGGGCCCAACTCAGCATTCCATCTGGATGGCCTTTTTAATGTGAAAACCTATGTCAGAAATTAAGATGAAGGAACAGTGAAGGGAAGACACATTCAGCCCTTTGCCTGGCTGCTTCTATGTTTCAAGATTTACCCCAAAACTTCCAAATGTTTTACAGGAGTAAACACACATCTTGGAACCTTGGGGAGGGCTGAGGGAACCTAACTGCAGCTGATATGACAGGTAGAAAAGGGGTTGAGCACTGTACTACCTCTTATGCCCCTTGGTCCTAGCATTGCTGCCTAGGTCTCAGGAGGTGGGCCTCAGCTGGGCACAGAACCAACCTTGCATGCAGTTCAAACAGATCTGGCAGCATGCTAGGCAGAGGTCATTTCGGGGGGGATCGCGGGGGATCGCAGTTCCCCCGGGTGAGGTACGGGGGCGAGGCACATGACAAAGCCCCGCCCCCTGCTTCCGGCCGC